GGATCCAACAGTAGAGTAGAGGATGCTGAGAATCAAATCAATGATTTGTGGAATATGAGGAAGCATAAAACACGCAATCAGAAGAGCTTAAAAAAATTCCAAAAATATGAAGATAGTGTAAGGAGCCTCTGGGACAACTTCAGGGGTACCAATATTTGCATTATGGCAGTGCCAGAAGGAGAAGAGAGAAAGCAAGATATTGAAAACCTATTTGAAGAAATAATGAAAACTTCCCCTACCTGGTGAAAGAAATAAACTTACAAGTCCAGGAAGCACAGAGAACCCTAAACAAGAGGAACCCAAAGAGGCCCACACCAAGACACATCATAATTAAAATGCCAAGAGCAAAAGACAAAGAGAGAATCTTAAAAGCATCAAGAGAAAAGCAATTAATTGCCTATAAGGGAGTGCCCATATGACTGTCAGTCAGAAACTTTGCAGGCCAGAAGGGAGTGGTAAGAAATAGTCAAAGTGATTGATGAATAGTAAGAACCTACAACCAAGATTACCCAGGAAAGCTCTCATTTAGAATTGAGGGTCAGATAAAGAGCTTCACAAACAAGAAAAAGCTAAAGGAATTCATTACCACCAAACCAGTACTACATGAAATGTTGGACACTCTTTAAGAAAAAGAAGAGACAAAAAATATGAAAAATAAAATGACAACATATACCTATCAACAATTAACTCTAAAAATCAAAATAAATGAATAGGAAATCTAATGCACAAAATAAACCAGTGAATAAAATAGAAGCAGAAGCATGAAACAGACTGACGAATCTCAGAGGGAAGTGGGGAGGGGGTTAGGAAGAGATTTTTTTTATTTTATTAAATCTTTATTGTTCAGATTACATTTGTTCCTCTTTTTTCCCCCCCATAACTCCCCTCCTTCCAGTTCCCGCCCCACCCTCCGCCCTCACTCCCCACCCACTGTCCTCATCCATAGGTGCATGATTTTTGTGCAGTCTCTTCCCGCATCTCCCATTCCCCTTTCCCCCCCAAGAATAGTCTGTCCATTCCCTTTCTATGTCCCTGATTCATTATAATCACCAGTTCATTCTGTACATCAGATTATTTATTCACTTGATTTTTAGATTCACTTGTTGATAGATGCATGTTTGTTGTTCACAATTTGTATCTTTACCTTTTTCTTTTTCCTCTTCTTAAAGGATACCTTTCAGTATTTCGTATAATACTGGTTTAGTGGTGATGAACTCCTTTAGCTTTTCCTTATCTGTGAAGCTCTTTATCTGACCTTCAATTCTGAATGATAGCTTTGCTGGATAAAGTAATCTTGGTTGTAGGTTCTTGGTATTCATCACTTTGAATATTTCTTGCCATTCCCTTCTGGCCTGCAAAGTTTCTGTTGAGAAATCAGCTGACAGTCGTATGGGTACTCCCTTGTAGGTAACTGACTGTCTTTCTCTTGCTGCTTTTAAGATTCTCTCTTTGTCTTTTGCTCTTGGCATTTTAATTATGATGTGTCTTGGTGTGGTCCTCTTTGGATTCCTTTTGTTTGGGGTTCTCTGCGCTACTTGGACCTGTAAGTCCATTTCTTTCACCAGGTGGGGGAAGTTTTCTGCCATTATTTCTTCAAATAGGTTTTCAATATCTTGCTGTCTCTCATCTTCTGGCACTCCTATAATTCTGATATTAGTGCGCTTGAAGCTGTCCCAGAGGCTCCTTACACTATCTTCACACTTTCGGATTCTTTTTTCATTTTGCTTTCCAGTTGGGTGTTTTTTGCTTCTTCGCATTTCAAATCTTTGGCTTGATTTTTGTGCTCCTCTGGTCTGCTATTGGGTATAATATTCTTTATTTCAGTCCGTGTATGCTTAATTTCTAGTTTCTTTATCATAGCATCGAGGGTTTCATTAGTTTTCGTGAGGCTCTCCTCAAGTTTATTGCAAGCCCTCAAAATTGCGTTTTTTAGCTCTATATCCTCCATTTCTGTCATGTTTTTTTGTCTCCGCATTTTTTATGCTTTCTTGGTGCACCCCCTTGTGGTCTTTGTGCACAGTCTTGTTCTAGTTAAGCCTTGATTGTTGTAGTTAATACTAGAGGGATTTGACCACCAGGCCGACTGGCTGTGAGAATCAGCTGTGTGGAAAACTTCTGTCCTCTGGGGAGGTGCTAATCTAGCCTTTGCCTGAGGCGATCCGGCAAATGGCTCTGCGCAGGGCTTGGGCGGGGTGGGCTCAACAGGGCGGGCGGAGGGAGCAGTTATGGCTGCTCTCAGTCCGTCCCCAGGGGCTCTGCCTCTCTGTCCCAGCAACCGCTGCAAACCTCGGAGGGACAGTCCTGCTTCTCCCGTTTGAGTCCTCAGACAGTCCTGCTTCTCCCGTTTGAGTCTGGGTCCCTAGAGACTCGCCCGGATCTGGAGCTCAGAGTCTGAGACTCCCTCCTGATTGAAAACGACAACCGCGCCCTCAGCCACCACCCCGCTTTGCGCGCGCACCTCCGTACCTTTAAATTTTCCACACTGCGCCTCCTCTGAGCCTCGGAATGCTGTTGTCTTTCCTTCTAGTTGAAGAGCCTCTCCTCAGTCAGCCTTCCTGTGGTTCTGGGTGATGTCCGATCCATCTTTTAGTTGTATTTTTGAAGTGGTTGTTTGCGGCAGCAGTCTCCGGTGTTTACCTATGCTGCCATCTTGGTGGTCTCAGGAAGAGATTAACCAAAGATCTTACCTGTGGACACAGACTGTAAGGTGGTGAAGGGGCGGGGTGGGAGCTGGGGGGAGGGGGACATCTGTAATACTCTCAACAATAAATATTTTTTAAAAGCAAACAAAAATGTTTACTACTATTTAAGCTCAATTGAGACTTTTCTACTTTAAAAAGTATACATTCCATTTGGTTATCTGTTGGTCAGGTGTCCATTAGGGCGTCTTAGATACAAATGAAGCAGTGACAGGCATCTTTGAAAAGAAAGTGTGTGTGTCTGCGGTTCTTTCTGCCCTCCCCGGAGCCAGAGCACTCAGGAGCTTCCTCGCAGCTTGTTTTCCTTGCACAGAAGGACAGAATGTGTGAATGGAGGGAGCTGATGCAGTAGGCTGGCAGGGTTGTGGCTGATAGTCACGAGTAGTATATTTTAACGTTCTCTAGTTTGAGAAGAATACCTTTAGCTTGGAAATGCATGTGGAGATCCTGTGTAGGGGGGATCCTGCTGCTCTGTCTGCGTGGCTGAGGGAGGGGTTATCAGGCCTCGCAGAGCTGCATTCCTCCCAACACATGCTCCCCCTTTTCCTTCTGCTGGAGACCCAGCCTACGAGACTTCCTTTCATCTGAGACGCTGTGTGACAGGAAGGGGAGACACCTGGTCCCGTGTGAAAGCCAATCTCATCAGCGAGGAACACGTCTCCAGGCTAGGGGGGGAAGACAAAGATGAGGCCGTGTGTGTAGAGGAGCAATGGGAAACAAGCTCAGGCTGTGCTTGCTCCCAACCCACCCAAGCCAACACGGAGACCAGTTTGCAAATTAGGGCTCAGGTATAAATGAGGCTACACCCTAGCTTTTTAAAGCACTTTTCTCTCTGCACAAGGCTAAACTTTACTGGTCATAGAAATGCTTCTTATCCTGGCAGATGTGCACCGGGAGTAGTGTTTTGCTTTCAGAGGTGGAGGGAGGAACAGTTTCAGTACCAAGTGGGATGGAGTGGATGTGTGCTCCCTGGTGCCCTCTCACTCAGAGCCTTAGCCTGGCTCTGTGATTGGTGGTACTGTGTGAACAAGAGCAACCTTTAGAGATGGATTCCTGTGATGAGCACAGCAGCAATACCTATTCAGCCCGTTCAGTTTCCTCAGTACAACCCCATGCTCTACAGCAGTGGTTCGCGACCCCTTTGGCGGTCGAACGACCCTTTCACAGGGGTCGCCTAAGACCATCCTGCATATCAGATATTTACATTATGATTCATAACAGTAGCAACATTACAGTTATGAAATAGCAACAAAAATAATTTTATGGTTGGGTCACAACATGAGGAACTGTATTTAAAGGGCCAGAAGGTTGAGAACCACTGCCCTACAGAGTTATTCCTCCCAGTTTACAGATGGGTCATCTGAGGCTCAGAGAAATTTTAACACTTGCTCTTGTCCAACCCTCCCTCTTTGGAGTGGGACCATATTTTATCTCCAATTCATCTACACACTGAACAAATGATTTCTTCTGTTAAAACTGGTGAAAACATAGGCGTTAAACAGCAAGCGCAGTAGAGTCCTGGCTGGAGCTGCCCACTGCTCCTGGGAGCTCCGCAGCGTCGGGTCTAAAGACCCACAGCGATGCTTCAAGGCCACAGCTTCTCACCCACTGAACTTGTTTCTGTTCTTATCGTTTGTCTTCCATTTTTAAAAAATAAGGTACCTTTTAAATACTTAGTTGTCAGATATAGTGTGACACATGCAGGGGATTTACAAGCAGCATAAAACTGAAGGACAGTCAGAAGCACGGGCTGTCAGTGGCGATTCTTGAGGTGCTCCTTGGCATGGACATAATGTTTTATGTGCTAACGATACTGCTGCCCACAGACGTGGTTCATTTGAGAGTAGGCATAAGTCATAGAATAATGAACTGTACATTGTAGGGATTCTGCTTTTTTCAAAATGCAAGGATGCTATTTTTAGAACATTATAAATAAGAACATATAAGCCTGAGTGATAACAGCTTGAGTGACACTCCCATGTGATGAGCAGGTTCGCTCTGTGAGCTGCAGGTGGATTTGAAAAGCACGTGTATGAAGCTGCTTGTCAGAAACAGTAAAGTGTTCACTGTGTACACTCACTCAGAATACAGGTAAAATACTCCCCTTCCTTTTCTAGAAGCCTCCCTTTTGAAATCTGTAATACTGTGCTAAACTTCACTCAGGTATACTGCTTCTAGCGTGATTGGGCTCAGCACTATGGAATCCAAGAACCTGGTGGAGTATGTAGAAATAAAACAATATATGTAATATTGTTTAAAGAGAAAACTTTAAATTCGATCACTCATTCTTTTCCCTCACAGATCGCAGATTTTGGTTTATCGAAGTGGCGCATGATGTCCCTGTCACAGTCGCGGAATAGTAAGGCTGCCCCGGAAGGCGGGACCATCATCTACATGCCGCCCGAGAACTACGAGCCGGGGCAGAAGGCGAGGGCCAGCGTCAAGCATGACATATACAGGTGCGGCTGCTGCTTGCTCAGAGCTCACCGCTCTGAGAGCCAGAGCAATCAGTCAGCATTTTGAAGCTGCATTTTAAAGTGTGATTTTTATTCTTTCCTACATGTGGGAAAATAAAGTAGAGCCCACAGTGACTAGTATTTCTGAATTTAAAGATGCCTTGCTTTAAGCCACATTTAGATCCTTGAAAACATTTTGAAGCACATCTATTGTCCTGTCAATTTATAATGTAACTAGAGGCCCAGTTCATGAAATTCGTGCACTGGGCGGGGGGTGTCCCTCAGCCTGGCCTGCACCCTCTTGTAGCCCAGGACCCCTCGGGGGATGTCCGCGTGCCAACTTAGGCCCGCCTAAGCCGGCAGGCAGACATCCCTCTTGCAGTCCGGGACCCCTCGCTCCTTACCACCCGTCTACTCGCTGTCCCTTACTGCTCAGCTCGCTGCTCCTTAGCGCTGCCACAGAGGCAGGAGAGATTACCACCACTGCTTGCCAGCCGTGAGCCCAGCTTCTGGCTGAGCAGCGCTCCCCCTGTGGGAGCACACTGACTACCAAGGGGCAGCTCCTGCATTGAGTGTCTGCCCCCTGGTGGTCAGTGTGCATCATAGCGACTGGTGGTTCTGGTTGTTCCACTGTAATGGTCACTTACACTTTTATTATATACGTGCTCCAGGGTTTTATCGCACGTGACTTTGATGTAGGTGGGGGAGGGGACTACCCAAGAAAGCAGAACAAAGTTCATGAAAAAATGACAGCCTTTTTTATTGCTCTCTATTTTGTGTGAATAATAAAATCCTATAATTAGAGGGTATAGCTTATCTAGGTGTTTAAGAATGATTATTAAATGATTCTTAAATTATTTTTACATATAACTTCAAGTTTTTATAACAGTAATTTTCTAATTTTTCAAATTAAGATGAATTCCCTTTCTTTTTTTAAATCCACACCCAAGGATATTTTTCCATTGGTTTTTAGGGAGAGTGGAAGAGAGAGGGAAAGACAGAGAGAAATATCGATGTGAGAGAAATACATCAATTGGTTGCCTCCTGCACAAGCCCCACCCAGGGCCTGCCAGGGAGGAGCCTGCAATCGAGGTACGTGCCCTTGACCGGAATCGAACCCAGAACCCTTTGGTCCACAGGCCAATCCTCTATCCACTCAGCCAAACCGGCCAGGGCAAGATTAATTCCCTTTCAAAACAAGCTGAATAATCACCATCTTGGTTGTATATGCTGATTCTTAATACAGCAGCTCACTACCTTATCACTTTCAAAAACAGTATCTCCACAGTCAGCTTTTGGGTTTGGTGTTACAGTTTACCACGCAGGGCTGGTTTGTAATCTACTGTGTACATTTTACATTCAACAGCTATGCAGTCATCATGTGGGAAGTCTTATCCAGAAAACAGCCTTTTGAGGGTGAGTTGCCCTGACCTCCTCCTCAGTGATGTCCTGCTGCTGGGCCACATGCAGAATGTCTACGACTCATCTACATTAAATCTGCCCACCAATCATTTTGTGGAAAACACACTAAAAAAGGCATAACAACTCACCGTGAATCCATTGTACACTGAGAAGCATACTAGATTCAGGATCAGGAAAATTAGATTCTCATTCTTGCTCTGACAGTAATTAGTTCTATCATCAAGCTATTAAATTTCTTGAGTCTTCAGTTTGTTCTCTATAAAACGAGGATTTTTAATTCCTATTCCTAAGATTCATTCCAGCTATAAAACTGTTCATATGAAAAATTAATTAGTGTCCCATATAAAGACTAGAAAACACTAAAGAATAATTTTTAAAGTTTCTGAAAATATTATTTCTTAATGTTTTTTTTTGTTAACCTTCATGAGAGCATATTTTTTCCATTGCTTTTTCAGAGAGAGGAAAGGAAGGAGGGGGGAGGGAGGTAGAGAGACAGAAACATCAATGTGAGAGCGACTCATTGATTGGTTGCCCATATGAGCCCTGACTGGCGACAGGGAGCAAACCCACAACCCAGACACATGCCCTTGACCTGGAATCAAACCTGTGACCCCGCCTGGCTGGCGTGGTTCAGTGGTTGAGCTATGACCAGGACGTCACAGTTCATTTCCTTGTCAAAGCACATGCCGGGGTTGTGGGCTTGATCCTCAGTGTGGCGTGTGCAGGAGGCAGCCGATCAATGATTTTCTCTAATCATTGAAGTTTCCATCTCTCTCTCTCTCCCTCTCCCTTCCTCTCTGAAATAAATGAAAAAATATATATTTTTAAAAACCCACGACCCCTTGGTGAAATAGCTGATGCTCTAACCATTGAGCTGCCAGCTGGGGCCATTTCTTATTTCGAGGTTTATATAAGTCACTTGCTGTACAGCAGACAACCTCAGGGTCTCAGCAGCTTACAAAACAAAACAGTATTTCTCAGTTACATTGGATGCTAGTTGCTGTAGCCCAAGCATGTCAAACTCAAAAGGCTAACATGGGCCAAATGAACAAGGGTTAAGTTTATGTGGGCCGAAAAAAACAAAAGCTTCAATTTTCATAGAAATATAGTTTATTTCAATAGAGACATGCTGAATACAAAGGGCTGAAATAAATGAGTCATCGTTCACATAAAATAATAGAACATTTTAATAAAATGAATATTTTCTTGAACATTAACTTACCAGACACTGAATAACTACACAAATTAATAAGCGTAACACAAATAAACCTATTTTTCTAGTTCTCCAAAAGCGAAATTTCCTGTTGCATGCACCAAACAAGTCAGTCCAAGACTAATGACGTGGCAATCCGCTGCTAAAATATTCGCTGCCAGTATTAGTGGAGAGAAATGGTGCGCCTGCACATTGGGTGCATAAGGGAAATGAATGCAACACGATTATAGCAAACGTTGTAGTTTGTTATTAATAAGTAGAGACCCGTTGCACGAAATTCGTGCACGGGAAGGGGGAGGTTGTCCCTCAGCTCAGCTTGCGCCCTCTTGCAATCCCTGACCCCTCAGGTAGTGTCCCTAGGCCTCACCAGTGTACAGGGCCTTTCGGGGCTTTTCTTTCCCTGGCTGCAGCAGCTGGCCCCGCCCCCACCACTGTGGTGCTGCCCCACCCCCGCCACCGGTTGCCTCCCTCTGCAGGCAACAGGCATGAGATGCGATCCCTTGGCTGCCCTGGGCCTCCCTCTGCAGGGTGATCACTGGCCGGCCCTGCTCACCTGCCACAGAGCCAGCCGGGAGGCCCCGCCCACCTGGCCAGGGTTCCAGGACTGATCACTGTGCAGAGGGTGGCCTGGGCCTCCTCCTGTGGGGCAATTGTGGGGTGATGGTGGGGCCCCCAACCAATTGCATCGCACCTGCCTTGGCTGGCTTGGCACCAGTGCGTGTCATAGCGTGATCGCCCGGAAGGTAGTCAGAATGGTCGTTCTGTTGTTCGGTTGTTCAGTCGATTTGCATATTACACTATTATTATAGATTATGTATAACAGGATATTGTAAAAATTAAGTTATTAAAACGTTTCTTGCATACCGTTGTGTTGACTGAGCTGCAAAAATATTCGTTGTGGGCCGCATGTGGCCTGCAGGCCATGAGTTTGACATGCTTGCTGTAGCCCTTCCTGGGCCTAATAAGTTGAGCTCAGCTCAGCACTACTCACGGCCTATTGCCCAGATCAATCCCACGCCCAGCGCAGTGCAGCAATGCTTCACACTCCTCGAAGGAACCAGGCAAGCCCGCAATGGCGATGCACCTGTTGCTTTAGCAGAAAGGGCAGTGAATTAGTCCTAAGACTTTTAAGAGTCCCTCATTTTCACTTGGTTGGCTTTAGAATGCATTTAGCATACTGGATCATAAAAAGTCTCTAATGAATGACGTATATTTGTTTCGATAGATGTCACCAACCCTTTGCAAATTATGTACAGTGTGTCACAAGGACACCGACCCGACACCAGTGAAGAGAGCCTGCCACCTAGTACCCCTCATCGAGCGCGGATGGTCTCACTCATCGAAGGCGGATGGGCACAGAACCCGGATGAACGGCCATCCTTCCTCAGTGAGTCACACCCTGAGTTACAAGCAGTTCAGATACTGTGAATAAATGTTCCTTGGAGAGTTATACAAGTTAGATGGCAAGCTCAAAGTTACTGTTTTTATTTTCTCCCCTCTTGTTATTCACAGCATTTATAAAAGGGTCACTGCTTCTGGAGTGGAACTGAGACTCCTAATAGAAAAGAGAACTCTGAAAGGGTAATAATCCATTCCTGAAGCCTCAGATAGCTCCTGCGCGCCTGCCTGGTGCCACGCGCTGAGGTGGCGCTCAGGGAACAAAGTAGTGACCATGACGAAGTCACTCAGTCCCTGGAGCTCACATCCAGTTGAAAGCAGAGAAGTAAATAAATAAATAACCAAGCCAGACATGGTTCCAGTCCTGTAAGGCAGTGAGCAGGGACAGTAGGTGAGGGAGGGAACGAAAGCCCTTTATTGGGGAACAAGTGTGAGAGGTGAAATTCGAAGCTTGAAGAGGAGGCAACGTCTTAAAGCTGAAGGCAGGGTGTCTCAGGCAGCGGACACAGCCAGGCTGAGCGCTGGAGGGGAGGTCCGTGTCCTGGAGGAACAAAGGAAGGCCTGGGGCTGGCGGACGTGAGCACGGAAGGGAGTAACATGGGATGCGCGTGGAAAAGGGAGGAGAGGCTGCCTCTGTCATGAAGGGTTGGCTGTTGTTCCCAGGAAGTGGGGAGCCATGGAGGTGTGTCTCATGGGACCGAGCTGATACACTGTGAGTTTAGAAGTCACTCCTGCTGCTGTGTGGCCTGAGGCAGAGACCAGCCAGGAGACCAGACAGGAAATGAGGCCAGTTGAGATCTGCCTGGGAGGCAGAGCGCACCTCAGGCATTGCAGACACAGGAGGAGGCCTGCCTGACCCCTGCATGACCTCGAGGCGGAGCTCTAGGGTGAGACCCAGGCAAGATCCATAGAAGAACTGAGACTTGGCCTTCCCAGAAATTGAAAATTTTTACATTTCAAAGATTTATAAAAAGTAAAAAGACAAGCCACGCACTTGGCATATTCATTCCAAATAAGCAATGAAGTCTATTTTCCATTCAAAACTTATGTCCATTGCTCATCAGCATTATAGTAAAACATCAAAAGCTGCTAAAATAATGGGCTGACATTGTATCTCTTATTTCCCACAGCTGTGTGGGAGGACACATACCTCCTTTGTCCCCAGTGCCTCGCCGAAGTAGTTACTTCTCTGTTTTCTGAAAGCCCTGGCTCTTCTGCAGATCATGCACCAGGCAGCGCCCACTTCCCTATGCACTTCCTGGGTTTCCTGTTGCTCCCTGAAGCCTGGGGCGACAGCTAACTGACTCCCACACCCTCAGGGGTCAGGGCTTTGGCCCCTGGAGGAGCCCTTGAGCATCTCTGGCCTTCTGTGTGCTTTTCCTCTCTGCCTGTGAACTGTCTGCCTGGTCCCCAGGCTCCACCTCACTCAGGTCCCTCTCTCAAGGCACTAAGCCTGCAGTCCTAAGGCTCCCTCATCTGTTTCTCTGTTTCTCCTCTCCGATCATTGTCCTTTGTTGCCCGATAGCTGCTGTTTTAAAAACCACTCTTTCACCCGGCCGGTGAGGCTCAGTGGTTGAGCATCAAGCCATGAGCCAGGAGGTCATGGTTCGATTCCCAGTCAGGGCACATGTCCAGGTTGCGTGCTCGATCCCTGGTAGAGGGTGTACAGGAGGCAGCCAACCAATGATTCCGATCATTGGTGTTTCTATCTCTCTCCCTTTTCCTTCCTCTCTGAAATAAAAAATATATATATTTTTTAAAAACCCACTCTTTCATACATTTTGTTTGGCCTTTTTGTTTTTTTCAAGCAGGAGGGTAAACCGTCCCTATTACTCCATCTTGGCCAAGTGGAAGTCCCTGGTTTCTCTTTATTTTATTTCATTGTTTTAATCCTTACCAAGGATATTTTCCCATTGATTTTTAGAGAGTGGAAGAGAGAAAGACAGAAATATCGATGTGAGAGAAACACATCAATTGGTTGCCTCCTGCATGCACCTGACCAGGGCCCAGACCAGGGAGGAGCCTGTAACCGGGGTACGTGCCCTTAACCAGGATCGAACCCAGGACCCTTCGGTGTGCAGGCTGACACTCTATCCACTGAGCCAAATCAGCCAGGGCCCTGGTTTCTCTTTCAATCAATGGCCCAAACTGGGCACTAAAACTGCTTCTGAAAGATCTGAACTTTCCCTCTGAGGCACCCGCTGTCTTGAGGGGCGGGGCTCCAGGGGCTGCTCCCGGAGACTCGGTTCTCAGAACCAACACTGTTTTCGAAATAATACAGGGACACGCTTCCCTTTTACTCATCCTTCACGAGTGGATTTGCAGAAGCTAAACAGGCATGATGATATCATTGCTCTCACAGATAACGCAATGTGTTCTCATATACTCTTGTTTTAAGCTTTTCTGTTTTAATTTCTCACATACTAAATATCAGGAGACATGGCCACATGTACAGAAGCTCTTGGGGTGCTGGGTAATTTTGAAGAGTCCTGAGCCCTAAAGGCTGGAGAGTTGCTATCTTAGATGATCATCCTGATGTCTTCTCTTCTCCAAAGTGAAACTCTCCTTGAAACTTTCCCTCTGGTGGTTTCAAGACACAAAAGAATACATCTCTTCCTCCATCGATTCTCTTCCTCCCTCAACTTCTAACTGTCAGAGCCTCAGCCCCCTCCAGGTCCTCGTCTCCTTGCACCATACTCTTCCCAGTGTGGTAGGCCTGCTGTGGCCCTGTCCACCACCTCTGTGTGAGTGACACTTCCCGCCATGGCCCTGTCCACCACCTCTGTGTGAGTGACACTTCCCGCCGTGGCCCTGTCCACCACCTCTGTGTGAGTGACACTTCCCGCCGTGGCCCTGTCCACCACCTCTGTGTGAGTGACACTTCCCGCCGTGGCCCTATCCACCACCTCTGTGTGAGTGACACTTCCCGCCATGGCCCTGTCCACCACCTCTGTGTGAGTGACACTTCCCGCCGTGGCCCTGTCCACCACCTCTGTGTGAGTGACACTTCCCGCCGTGGCCCTGTCCACCACCTCTGTGTGAGTGACACTTCCCGCCGTGGCCCTATCCACCACCTCTGTGTGAGTGACACTTCCCTCCGTGGCCCTGTCCACCACCTCTGTGTGATGCTCAGTTTTCTACCTGGAGCGCTGGGCAGGTTCATTTTCTCCTAGTGATGATGGTAATTCTGAGTGTTCCCACACGTGGGCCGCCGGGAACATTGCTGCTGTGAATGCTCACCTGCCCATCTGTGTGAATGTGTTTCCATTTCTCTCAGTAACTATGAGTGAAATTGCTCAGTTTATGATAAATGTATCTGCCATTTTTTAAAAAAACTGCCAAACTTTCACAGTGGCTGCATCATTTGTGTTTCCATCAGCAGCGGGAGGGCTTGAGGTTGTGTCTGCATTGCTGTCAGCACTTGCTGCTGTCTGCGCTTTAATTGCAGTTCTTTTCGTGGGTATGGAGTGCTATCTCATTGTCGTTTTAATTTGCATGTCCTAATGACTGATGATGTTAAACCTATTTTCATGTGCTTTTTACTCATTTGTATCTCCCCTTCGGTGAAATTTAATTTTTTGCCCATTTTAAATTGGGTCATTTGTCTGATTAAGCCACCCAGCGTTCTTTGTATATTCTAGACGCAAGTCCTTCAGCAGACACGTGATATGCAGACGTGGTCTGTCAGTCTGTGGCCAGAATTTCATTTCTCTTAATAGTGTCTCTAGAAGAATAAAAGTTTTCAATATTTTGAAGTTCATTTGCCAGTTTTGTGTGGACCCTGTTTTTAGGTCATAGCTAAGAATTCTGTGCCCAGCCCAAGGTCATGAAGACTCTCCTATATTCCACTTAGGTGCATGTCCGTTTCAGGTTAAGTCCACATTTGTTGTGGGTAAGAGTAAGTTTATCTGTGTCCCTGTGGCTCTCCGACTGTCCCAGCGCCACTGGTTGGAATGACGATCCTGTCCCCGTTAAATGTCCTTTTCAATTTTGTCAAAAAGCAGTTGACCACAATTGGAAGGATTTAACTTTAGACTCTCATTCTGATTCTGTTCCATTGATCTAGATGCCTATCTTATTTTTTCCATCTCCCTACTCCCCTCCCCTTTCGCAACCATCCGTTTGTTCTCTGAGTCTGTTTCTGTTTTATTTCTGGATTCCCCATATAAGTGAAATCATATGGCATTTGTCTTTCTCTGTCCTACCTATTTCACTCAGCATAAGACCCTCTAGTCCATCCATGTTATCTCAGATGGCAAGATGGCATTACTTTGTATGGCTCAGTATATGCTTTCCATTGTGCACTGTACCGCAGCTTGATCCCTTTGTCTGTCAGTGGACATCTAGGTTGCTTCCATGTCTTGGCTGTTATAAATAATGTTGCAATGAACACAGAAGTGCACATATCTTTTCAAATTTGTGTTTTTGTTTTCTTTGGATAAATATCAGAAGTGGGATTGCAGAGTCATATGGAAGTTCCATTTTTAATTTTTTGAGGAACCTTCATACTGCTTTCCACAGGGCTGCACCAATTTACAGTCCCACCAACAGTGCACGAGGGTTCCCTTTTCTCCACATCCTCACCAACACTTCCTATATGTTGATTTTTTTCTTTTTCTTTTTTGCTATTTGTTGATTATTGATGATCAACATTGGTAGGTGTGAGGTGATGCCTCATTGTGGTTTTAATTTGCATTTCCATGGTGATTAGTGATGCTAAGGATCTTTTCATGTATCTATTTGTCATCTGTATGTCCTCTTTGGAGAAATGTCTGTTCAGGGTCTCTGCCCATTTTTCAGTTGGATTGTGTTAAGTTGTGTGTGTTCCTTATATATTTTGGATATTAACCCCTTATTGGATAGATTATTTGCAAATAATCTTCTCCCATTGAGTAGGTTGTCTTTTCATTTTGTTGATGGTTTCCTTTGCTGTGCAAAAACTTTTCTGTTTATGTAGTCCCACTTGTTTATTTTTGTTTTTGTTGGCCTTGTCTGAGGAGACATGCTTGGCCTGGGGCCTTTTAGAGAGAAGTATGGGGCATGCTGAGGCTAGATGCTGCTTCTTTAGGAAAATCTGAATATTAAAAAGATATTGCTAAGACTGATATCAAGGAGTTTATTGCCTTTTTTTCTAGGAGTTTTATTGTTCTAGGTCTTATATTTAAGTTTAATCCATTTTAAGTTTACTGTTGTTTATGGTGTATATATGATATCTTTATGCCTGTAATAAAGTCTGTTAAGACAGTTAGTTTTCATTCGTGGGAAAAATTGACGTAGGGCCTTATCAGTTAAATATTAGCATTTATATTATTCAATTTAATGACTAGATGCAATCTGAACTCTAATTTTTTTCTTATTTAGAATGTTTAATAGAACTTGAGCCAGTCCTGAGAACATATGAAGAGATAAGTTTTCTTGAAGCTGTTTTGCAACTAAAGAAAACAAAGGTAAATAATTGCTAAATGAAATGCTAGAAATCAGACTTTAAACAACTATATGTTAGTCACGGAGACATTCGATTTAGTTTGTAATTCTTACCTGTGTACTTTTCACAAGTATAGGCTATAGTATTGGGGCGGAGCGTTTATGAGAGGTTATAAATGCTCTCCTTCTGTCACTGAAAGGCTTTTCCATGCCATTCAGATGGCCATCTCCAGATTCCAGGCATTTCCAGAACTCCTATATGTTACATTTTAATATAAAATGTGTCATGACACTTCTCCAAAGTGGACACACATATGGCCAAGAGACATGTGAAAAAAATGCTCAAAGTCACTGATCATCAGAGAGATGCAAATTTAAAAAACAATGAGATACCACCTCACACCTGTCAGAATGGCTGCCATCAACAGATGACAAGTGCTGGCGAGGATGTAGAGAAAAGGGAACCCTCGTGCACTGCTGGTGGGAATGCAGCCTGGTGCAGCCACTGTGGAGAACAGTATGGAGTCTCCTCAAAAACTTAAAAATGGAACTGCCATTTGACCCCGTGATCCCACTTCTAGGAATATATCCTAAGAAACCAGAAACACCAATCAGAAAGAATATATGCACCACTATGTTCATAGCAGTGCAACTACAATAGCTAAGATTTGGAAATAGCCCAAGTGCCCATCAGCAGATGAATGGATAAAAAAGCAGTAGTAATTTACACCATGGAATACTATGCAGCTGTAAAAAAGAAAGAACTCTTATCTTTTAAGGATGGGCCTGGAGAGTATTATACTAAGTGAAATGTTAGAGAAAGATAAGTATCACATGATCTCACTCATATGTGGAATCTTATGAACAAAATAAACTGATGAACAAAATAGATCCAGAGACATGGAAGCATGGAACAGACTGGTGAATTCCAGAGGGAAGGTGGGGGTGGGTGACTAGGTGGGGAGTGATTAACCGGGGAACTTATATGCAAATATGGACACAGACAATAGAGTGGTGAAGGCCTGGGAGGGGCAGGTGCGGGGTGGAGGGGTTCAATGAAAAAAAGAAAGAAACATGCCCAGCCAGGTGACTCGGGTTGAGCATCCACTTATGAACCAGGAAGTAACGGTTTGATTCCCAGTCAGGGCACATGCCTGGGTTGCGGACTGGATCCCCAGTGTGGGGTGTGCAGGAGGCAGCCGATCAATGATTCCCTCTCATCATTGATGTTTCTATCTCTCCCTCTCCCTTCCTCTCTGAAATCAATAAAGATATGTATATTTTTAAAACCAACAAAGTGGGCATCTGTAATACTTTCAACAATAAAGAAAAAAAAGAAAGGAAAGAAAAGAAATAAGAAAGAAGGAAAAAAAAAGTGTCATGAATGCCAGTGTGTACAATGAATTCCGTAAATCAACTTTTTAATCCACATGTTATTTCCCTAAAGTCTTCAGAGTAATAGATATCTGGTTTCTTACACTTCTCTTTGTCCAGTGTTCTCAGGCTTTTCTGTGATTTATGGTAAGTTAAGCTGTAGGATTTTTATTAAGTGTATTTTATTTTGTGTATTATTTGAGGATTAATACACAAAATGTTTATTTTTTAAATTGCTTTTTGATTTTGTTATCCTACTCACTTGATGTTGCGTAGACCAGTCTCTGTTGATGTGGATCTAGGACAGTTGTCTTCCTGGCTCTTGCAGATCAGAAGAACTGAAGGGACCCAACACTGCAGGGTTTTCTCAACATTAAAGTTGTTTAAAAGCCACTGTAGTCCTTTCGGGGGCAGAGTAAGCATAGTTTAGCACTTGTTGGGTTTCCTTATGTTGCCTTTGAAATATGATCCAGTTTGCAGGATTGATTGACACAGCCTCTGATGTAGAAGGGACACGCATAAAGGAAACGGCTTCCCTTAACCAAACTAAGAATTGATGGGGACAATACTAGTTAGTGCCTGAGTGTTTTAAGGCACTAACAGCTTAACTTACTATAAATCACAGAAAAGCCCGAGAACACTGGACAAAGAGAAGTGTAAGAACCCAGATATCTATTACTCTGAAGACTTTAGGGAAATAACTAACGAGAAACTGTGTTAATCCTTTTGATAACTTTTCACTGACTTATCCACTTCTGAGTAGGTACAGTGTTTTCCAGAACATTCCATCTTATCCACTTCTTAGTAGATACAAACTTCAATAGCATTTCTTTTTGCTTTATCTTTTCAGTTCTTTCTTTCCTCATAACTTTCTCTTCTTCTAAGCAAGGTGTACAGAAGGATCTGCTTTCTTGGCTTTAAAGTAGAAAAGAACCATTCCAGTTCCTTCGTCCACAAACAACTTATATTAGGATCTATATTTAAAACTGTTAATTTTTAGAAGTTCTGGCTTTTTAAATAAAGTAATATAAGTTATATAATTTTAAATACTTGAATATCCTATATAATAAAAGGCTAATATGCACATTGACCGAACGGTAGGAATGACCGGTCACTATGACGCACACTGATCACCAGGGGGCAGATGCTTAATGAAGGAGCTGCCCCCTGGTGGTCAGTGTGCTCCAACAGGGGGAGCGCCACTCAACCAGCAGCCAGGCTCATGGCTGGCAAGCGCAACGGTGGTGGTGGGAGCCTCTCCCACCTCCACGGCATCACTAAGGATGTCTGACTGAGCGGACCTAAGCCATCAGTCAGACATCCCCCAAGGGCTTCCGGACTGCAAGAGGGCACAGGCTGAGCTGAGGGGACCCCCCTCCCCAGTACATGAATTTTGTGCACTGGGCCTCTAGTCATTTAATAATAGCATCACTTTCATCATTCTTTTTAACTTACTGTATTGTTTTCACTTAGGGTTGTTATAGTTATTCTTTACTTTTTAAAAAAATTTTTATATTGCATGGCCTGTGTGTCTCAGTGGTTGAGCATCAACCTATGAACCAGGAGGTCATGGTTCAATTCCTGGTCATGGCACATGCCCTGGTTCCAGGGTTGATCCCCAGTAGGGTGTGTGTAGGAAGAAGCCAATCAGTGATTCTCTTCCATCATTGATGTTTCTCTCTCTCCCTCTCCCTTCCTCTCTGATATCAATAAAATATATATATATATATATATACACACACACATACACACACATACATACATATATTAATCCTTATATCAGTACTGTGAAACTCGTAGGGCAGGATCTTGTTGCCATCGCACTGGTAAGATCACGGAGGTGCGTGGATGTCAGTGACACAGCACCCACACAGCCAGCCCATGGCGGGGCCAGGAATAGAATATAAATTTAATAAGATTTTTCATAAAGAAATTGTTGAAAACAAAGATCACCATTTAGGATAAGCTGATTTGTTAAAGAATTTTACTCATGTGATTTGTTACTCCAGTTAAAGCACATGTATGTGTCCGCTCCAGGTGCAGAGCGCTCTGAGTGCTGTCCACTTATGTGACAAGACATCGGAGGCATCTCTGAACCTCTCTCTAAATCACGGTCCACAAGAGGTAAACAAAACTTATGTTGATAAACTCAAAATCTGAGAATCTGGGAAAGTCATCCAATCTAACTCCTGGGGAGGTGCTGGGATCTGCCCATGGCCCAGGGCCGTGCCCGGCTAGAAATCCCTCATCCAGCCCCTGCTCCTTGCCCAGCCAGCCCTGTGGTCTGTGTGGCGCGCTGTGTCCCCATGGATCGGCATGGGGGACGTTGCTCTGGTGGTGCTGGGCCCATCCTGACCGAGCTCTGCACTGTCCATCTGCCTGTCCTTCCCTCTCCTGGGAGGAGCGGAAGGGAAGTGCCACTGCGTGGCTGCGAGTGAGGAAAGGTCTCCTGCGGGGCATCCACTCGGGCTCACTGCATCTCGGTCATTTCTCTTCAGAAAACGTATGTCCACTTTACAGACTCAGAAAAGGCCTTCAGAATGAACGCTACAGCACAGCACATGGGCTTTCCATCTGCTGTACACACCGTCTCCGCTCTCAGAGCCACGTGCACACTGTAGACATTAAGGACAGATAGCACCGGCAAAGCCCGGCACCCGAGGGCGGAAGCCTGGTGGAGGCGCATCCATACTCCACCACTTTTGTGGGCCCCATGGGGGTGGGGCGTGGGCAGAAAGAGGAGGCACCTGCTCTACATCAGCAGGAACCAGAGTTGCAGATTTCAAATTTCTCATCAACTGTACAGAGCCTCTAAGATCATATAGCAAATACTGGAAAAGTTATCATTTCTAATATGTTATCATTCACCCCCCCCCAATTTAAGTTGATTTTAAAAATCAGGTTCTTTGTTTATTTGATATATGTGGCTTTTTACTTTGTAAGGTGTAACTGTCGTTTTGATTCTTTGTTTATAATAAGCCACAAGCAAGAACTGTTTAGAAATTAAAACTGTATAACTTTTGAATGATTTTTCTTTAGCCTAAATCGTGTGTCCCTGTTCACCTCAGGAATCCTGTGGATCTTCTCAGTGTCATAAAAATAGCGGCTCTCCCGGAACCGCCAGATCCCTGTGCGCTCCTCAGCACGATGGCCTTGTGTCCGGTACGTACGGTTTGTCGTCGGTTTGGCTTACAAGTTTCCACTTTCTTTCAAGCTGATATTCTTGCAAACAATCACAGTTTGTGTGGCACGTGTCTCCCATTGGCATCCATGACGCATGTTCACAAAGGGACAGACAGTACAGCGTCCTGGGATGTTCAAGAGACCCCTCCCGTGTGAAAGGCATGCTGCGGGGCAGCACAGGAAAATACGGACAGTCTCTCGGGAGAAAGAGGAGCAGTGTGTCTGCGTGTGCACAGTGTGGCCGCAGCGGGTGCAGGGGAGGTGACAGAGCTGTGGGTTGGGGGAGGGCGTCTTCACAGCAGCCTGAGGGACTCTGGATCCATGGTCAGGAGCTGCACGTCCGCGGCTGGAAGCAGGTGTTTTGATCAGTGTTTTCCTGTTGCTCTGCTCGGCTCTGCCATCACGAAGAACTTGCTGGTGGAGGCTGAAGCTGTCGTTACAAAGGGTGGGTATTGGGTGGGCATTCCAGGCCGAGCGACAGCATCGGGGCTCGGATTCGCAGGGCAGGGCACATGGACGGGGAGGCCAGGTGTGGCGAGGCTGACCAGGGTGGGGAGCCACCACTGCACGCTTCTGAGCAAGGGAGTGACGGAATGAAATCCTTTGCTTTAGGAAGAGTCGTTCTGGCCGGACTCTAGGCTACTTGGGGAGAGCAAGGAGACGAGGTGGGGGAACAGCTGGGAGACTTGGTCTGTTGCTGCAGCACAGCCACAGCGGGGGGCTAGGAGGCGTGACCAGAGCACAGGAGGGGGTGGGTGTGTTGTCTCCGATAGGGTGAGGCCCCTGCTCACTGGCAGGAGCGACAGAGAAGCCGGAACTGGGAGAGCATTGGTGCTAGTCACTAAAACGGGTTTTGGAGTTAAGGTGAGCAGTTAAGTTTTTAATGTTTTGTAACGAGGTGTTCAGCAGCATGCATGAGGGCGCTGTCCAGTTGGCTGCTTAAAATGTGAGACCGAGGTTCCATGAAGTCAGAAAAGGTAATTACACGGATTTGGGAAGAGGTGACCGCTGAGGCCTGCGGTGGCGAGGGTAACCAAGGAGAGCATAGGAAACACGTCACACACCGAGTCAGAGGACAATTCAAAGTGCGGAGACGCAGAGGAGGGAGGGGCGACATGGAGAAGTAAAATCCCATGATGTGTCGCTTACATGGGACAGACAGACAGCGAGAGTGTGGCAGGACATTCGGTGTGACCCTCCTGGTCCAAGAGCAGTTACTTGCAGAATCAGGTGGACACGCAGCGCGAGCAGCAGTGCAGTGGACACTGCGTGCCCTCCCCTGTGTGGCCCATGCTGACAGCTGAGCTGCAGGAGGAACTAAGGATATCCTCCCCCAGTAGCAACATTGTCTTTCAGGAAAAACCCCGGACCTCTCCACCCTGCTTCCCCGCCCGGCCAATCACAGCTGGGATGACGTGTCTGCGGCTCAGACGGCCCTGATCTGTGACCACGAGACTGCCCCGCGCTCATTGGCAGTACACCCCCTCTCCGCCGAGGGGAACTCAGGTAATTCCTGCTGCCAGACACCTCTCCACTCTGCCCAGTAGGTCTGCCACATCAGGGCTACTGTCTTCACTCCCCCAGTGTGGGGAACACGGACATTCTGAAGTCGGGAAGCACTTCCAGCCCCAGCACCAGGGGCCATGCGGTCACAGCTCAGGGTCATGCGGTCACAGCTCAGGGTCTGTGCGGTCACAGCTCAGGGGCCGTGTGGTCACAGCTCAGGGGTCGCACGGTCACAGCTCAGGGGCCGGCGTGTGGTCACAGCTCAGGGTCATACGGTCACAGCTCAGGGGCCGCGAGGTCACAGCTCAGGGGCCTGTGGTCACAGCTCAGGGGCCGGCGTGTGGTCACAGCTCAGTGGCCGATCCCTCAAGGTCTGGGGAGGGGAAGGCGGCTGGGCACAGGTGTGACCAAATACGTTACTAAAGGCAAAGTTGCTTTTGTTTATCTAACAAACATGCAGGTATCTTTTACACATTTTTTTAAACCTAGAAAATGGTTTTGTCCCATGATTTATAGCAGATAAAAAGGAGTGCTTTCCCAGGAGGGAGGAGAAGAAATAACTCAAATATCTGTTTCCTGAAAATTAACAGCATCTCCCCAAAGTACTGGTTTCCTATTAGCACAGTCACAGTAAAGCAGATTTTATGCCTCCTCATTTCTTTTCCATCTTGTTTTCTTCCTTGCACGTGTCTGTCCTCACCTTTTACCTGTCCCCCGGCTCTGTGCAGAGCGATCGCAGCCTGGGGTGGCCCAGCAGTGGATCCAGAGCAAAAGGGAGGATGTCGTGAGCCAGATGACCGAGGCCTGCCTCAACCAGGCGCTGGACGCCCTGCTGTCCCGGGACCTGATCATGAAGGAGGACTACGAGCTCATCAGCACCAAACCCACGAGGACCGCCAAAGTCAGGCAGTTACTGGACACCACTGACATCCAGGGGGAGGAATTTGCCAGAGTCATAGTGCAGAAGCTGAAGGACAACAAGCAGATGGGCCTCCAGCCCTACCCGGAAATACTGCCGGCTTCTCGGTCGCCATCGTTACTCTTATTTCACAATAAAAGCTTATAGGGGACTCTTTTTCAAGAACAGTCAGCTTATTAAAAGGTATTTTATATTTCTCTTGCCCTGATCAGATTGTTTTTATGAAATCCATGTGAGTCTTAGTAGCTTCAATGAAGTTTCTCCTTCAGGTAAATATTAGTCTTCTCCATGACATTACAATCTTTTTAAAATTAAAATAGTAGAAAGTATGCATTTTGCTACATAGTTCAATTTTTGTCTCTTTGGTTAATTGAAGCTTTTTTTTGGTTTTATTTATTTTTATTGATGTTAGAGGGGAGAGGAGAGCGAGAGGGAGGGAGAAACATCGATTGGTTGCCTCCCATTCGCACCCTGACTGGGGATCGAATCTGAAACCTAGGTATGTGCCCTGCCTGGGAATCAAACCTGCAGCCTGTTTTTGGTGCATGGACCAGTGCTCCCACCAGCCGAGCCACCACCCGGCTGGGCGGTTGAAGCTGTTTTCCAGTGTAATATTGTGCACTTCCTGTACACGGTGATTGTTGGTATCAGGCGTGTCCATGGAGGCACCTCACGTTCACTCTGGGGTCTGCATGGCTTGTCTGTGCTGTGTCTGGCGTCTGCACTGCGTCCTCTACACTCACCAGAGAACATGGCCTTCTGACCGCCGTCCAGCTCATGTCCTCTCCCACAGGCTGTGCATTAGATTGTTGTCCAGAATACGTTTTTGTTTTTAATATATTTTTATTGATTTCGGAGAAAGGGAGAGGGAGAGGGAGAAACATCAATGATGAGAGAAAACCATTGATCGGGTGCCTCCTGAACACCCCACACTGGGGACCGAGCCCGCAACCCAGGCATGTGCCCTACCAGGAATCAAACCGTGACCTGCTGGTTCATAGGTCGACACTCAACCATTGAGCCACACTGGCTGGGCCAGATTATGTTTTTAAATGTTATTTATTGAATTCTTCTTTTAAAACTTGTTTCACAGGTAAAACAATACAAAGTATATAAAGAAAAATATTGATCTTTCAACATATGTTTCTACCTCCATTTCTGACCTCAGCCAACAACCTGGGCATGGACAGGTGCTGGTTCTTGCCTCCTCCCGGAGCAACCTCCTCGCCCATCCTTCTTAACTGCTGCGTAATACCACCAGGGCACCTATTTTCTTTTCCCTTTTTTTAATGTGTTTTATAGATTTTTAGAGCGGAAGGGAGAGAGATAGAGAAATAGCAACATTGATGAGAGAGAACCATCGATTGGCTGCCTCCTGCACGCCCCCTACTGGGGATCGAGCCTACAACCCCGGCATGTGCCCTGACCTCTTGATTCCTGGGTTGATGCTCAACCACTGAGCCACACTGGCTGGTCGGCTTTTTAATTTTTTTTTTTAAGATATAGTGTGAGTTCTTTTTTGGTTAATTGGGTTATGTCACTAAGTGAAAATGTACAAGGAATAATGCCCTTTTCTGAAAATGTTTATCAGCAATGTCAGCAAACAGTGTGAAACAGGACAAATTCGAAAGCACCACACCCACAGTGTGAAAAAATGAGGAAAAGCAGAAATGACTGATGGCGTTGAGGCAACAAAGTATTTTATTAAAATTATAAGAGTGTGTATTTCCATCTCCATGTTGGAGCTTGACATTCACCGGTGGTGCCTCGAGAAAATGGAAATTAACGTGAGAGACGGTAGCAGTGTGTGAGTTGTCTGTTATTACGCCGATCATTTTTAAAGTGCGAGGATAAAGATTCAATTTGAGAAATAAATTGAGAAAAAAAGCGTCTTTTCTTTTGAAGGTTTTCCCCTTTCTGTATACATATTCCAGAATTTTAATTATTTTAAATCTTGATGGTTTCCAATTGGCCTTTATATTGGTTTGATGATGTGGTGATCTGATTGGTAAAGTGAACTTTGCCCTGTGTCTTCCATTCTGCCTAGATCTAAACACTCGGCCTTCCAGCCACTCTGTGTGCATGTGGCCGTGCACAGCAGCCACTGTCTCCCATGATTTAACATGAGGGAGCATGTAGCCATGCACAGATCACCACGCATGGTGAGTAAGAAGATGGAGACGAGGGTCCAGGGGGCCTGCAGTCAGCCTCGTAGACCTGCTGCCACCCCTGTGGCCAGGTTTCATTGAAGCCCGTGTGCAGCGTGATGATTAGGGAAAGGGTGACGGGTGTGCAGTAGGTGTGTTTAGGGAAAGGGTGACACATATGCCGAGTATAACAGGTCAGATGAGAAGCAGGCCTAGCATGGAGAAGGTGCATTTGAATGTCTTTTTAGTGGTAGCTACATGGGATGAGCTGGACACAGATGAGGGCAAGACCCTGCAGGTGCAGCAGCAGCTGGGTTGCCCGTGGCCTGCGGACCTGGCACTCTATGACGTCGGGTGACGTTGAGGGCTGCTGAGGCCTGCGGACCTGGCGCTCGCTGGCCTTGGGGCCTGTGGTCTGGAAGTTCTTCAGTTCTTCCTCCACCTTCTAGTTAAGTCACAGAGATGTCACAGTGTCACCTTTAACCCCCTTGTTGACAAACAGAACAGGCTTCAGGCTCAGACCTTCAGCCACAACATAGCGATGATCTTTTCATTTTTTAAAATTGTACTTTGGCCGAAACCGGTTTGGCTCAGTGGATGGAGCGTCGGGCTGCGGACTGAAAGGTCCCAGGTTCGATTCCGGTCAAGGGCATGTACCTGGGTTGCGGGCACATCCCCAGTGGGAGATGTGCAGGAGGCAGCTGATCGATGTTTCTCTCTCATCGATGTTTCTGGCTCTCTATCTCTCTCCCTTCCTCTCTGTAAAAAATCAATAAAATATATTATAAATAAATAAATAAATAAATAAAATAAAATTGTACTTTGTTTGAAAACGACCTTCTACATATGACACTGGTAGCAGTTTTCTGTGTGTAACATGTAAAGGTTCACGTACAATATTGACGATAAGGGAGCCTGAGTGCCGAGGCCCGTGGTGGTCCTGGGCGGGGCCCCTCGGCAGGAGGACGCCGGGTTAGGGTGCAGTCGCTCCGGGAGGGTCCTCACAGTCTGGAACCCTCTGTGTTCCCTGGAGGAGGCTGGGGACAGCACTGCGCACGGGGTGAGGGCAGAGCCCGAGCGGGCACCGCGCACACCTAGGCGGCACTGGTGGAGCTGGACGTGCAGACCCATGGCCGCCCGACCCCTGTCAGCTCGGGGGCGGGGAGGGCGTCCAGGAATGTCCAGGATGGTGTTAAAAGCAGGAGATTTGTGCATGAGACAGTTTCTCTTAGGGGCCACTTCTGTTTCCTGCAGGCTGGGAACTGAGATCTGATTAGAACATTAAACATTTTGCATCCAACTTGAGTTCCGAGAACAATGTTGTCAC